GTCATGGTTGCCGGAAATCAGGCCACTACTTATTGGATTGTCCGACGAAGAAACCGTGCACAGTATGCGGCAAGGGAATTCAAAAATGCATGGAGGTTGAAAAGAGGACTAAAAACTTAGGTCTTATTCTTATGTTGTACTAACGATTGCACTCATTTCAAGTGGCTCGACGAAGACGAGTATTGTCAATATGATGGTCAATCAAGTGCTACATCGGAAGTCGGCGAGTTGTCGGGTTTGTTGAAGCATGTTGCTAAAATAACCAAAGAAAATGACGTTGATATCTCTGTCAAGTTTAGTTTTCGCAAGGGAAAAGGGGAGAAGGAGAACGGGAAACAAAATGGAGGAGATTTGTGAAACTAAACCATTGACGTTATTGTCTAGCTTGTGTTGTTTAGTAGTTGTATGTTTGGGGTTGTAACTTCAATGTTTTCAGAATCAATGTAGTTGTAATTGTAGAATTTGTGTTGTTCAGTAGTTGTATGTTTATGTTTGTAATTTGAATGTTTTCAGAATCAATGTATCCCTAATTTAGAATTTATGTTTGTAATTTCAATGTCTTGCCTTTAATTTAGAATCAATGTAGCTGCAATTCAGAAGTCCTTTATGAGTTTTAATATTTCACACTATTTTACAGAAAAGAAATTAATGCTATAGTATATTTAGTGAAGTAAAATTTAAATGATAGAATTTACTAACCTAGATTCATAGAAGTAATATTATTCTGTGAACAAGTTTTATAGCAACCTCTTTTAAAGATGAATATCACATTTTTACTCAATACGTTTCATTATTTCTGTTTTAGATTTTGTTTCTTTTCTTCCAGTCCATAGATCTAAAAACACATAAATGGAGAAATTTCATTACAATCAAGCATTTCTACCACCAAAACTAGGGGAAAAACCCAAACTAGCTAAAAAGTAAAAACATTATATTGCTGGACAAAATCATATGTAGGACAATATGTTTCCAATTTACATCTTCTATCTCCTTTACACTGGACAAAATCATATATCAATACCAATTTCCAAAAAAACCAGTGTTGTGTGGCTTTTGCACATGTGGGAACACCATCTAAAAGTCTGTCAACAAAAAAGAACAGACTAGAAGTCAAAAAGGCTAGTAACTCCCACAACATAATAGAAGTAAAAAATTCCAGCAACTCCCATTTTTTAGCATATCTACAAGATAAACTAAGTTGACTTCAAACATCATTTTTTAGCGTCGTCGTTTTCCTGCCCTTGAAGCAGATGAACAGGCAGCTTCCGCATCTCCCTGATCATTCCAGTCTTCCACAACATCGATTGGAACTTCAGGAATAACCGACTACGTGCACGTTGTTGATGCTGGACCAGATTTCAGATTGCTGGATCGTGCTTCACGAGTCACCATCGGCGTTGGAATGAAGTGGAAAGTCTGTTCATTTCTGGGGTTGTCGTCCTGAGATGCTCGTTGTCGCCTTTCTGGCAACATTTTTCCCTGAATGATAGAAATTGAATAAAATGTTACCACATCATGTGCATGTATCATGTAGCGCAATAATGACTGTCGAGCCAACATTTGTACGGAGTACCTTGGCTGTATAACACCTCAATCCCCTAAACTGCTCTTGTAAAGTCCCTACTAACAGTTCTTTTGCATATCTCTGCATCTTTCATGCTACATTTCGACTAATATCTGTACGGAGATCCTTCTTCACTGTTGCCAAAATTAAATCAGTCTTCCAGTCCGTGTCAGCCTTGAATTGCTCAATATATCGACGTGTCAAGAACATGTAATTACAGTGTCTATTGAACTGATCCCTGCTACAAGTATGCTCCGAAGTGTAAGATTTTACTTGCAATCTCTTGGATCTATCAAATTTAGAAGCCCATATTCTCCATTTGCAACCCAATTTACAAACTCCTTGTACTATTCTTTCCCCATTTGCCTTAAATTTTACGTTGTACCCATTTAATGCACCGTACGTTCGCATCGCCTCCCGAGACTCTACAGCAGAACTGAATATTTGTCCTACCTCGAACTGAAGATTAATCATGTCCTGATCAAAAGTGAATTGAGGAAAGTGATAACTACCATCCTCAT